GACGACCGCGCGACGCATTTACGGAGATTTAGAGCGAGCGTAACGGCGCGGCTCGCCCCCAACCCCCCCGCCCCCATCCCCCCCGGCTCGGTTTGCCGTTGAATTTTGTCCGTCGCTCGGTCGCCTCTCCTCGGGTCCTGCCCGAGAAGGCTCGCGCAAAACTCGCGAAGACGAGCAAAAGGAAGTGTATGCGTAGTCTTGAAGATTATCTTCCCCGCTACATGGTCGTGTCCGATCTTCTCTCGTCGTACCCGTCATCTCTCTTTATACCGCACCTCCTTCTTTACTCGCGCCTCGCAGATGACTAGTTTTTCATCCTCCGCGTTATTAACTCCCACACTTACCTCGTTGCGCCTTATACGCGGAGAATGGGGAAGTGCCGTGTCCCACCTTCGCCTGACCGTCCCGGACATATTCCGCGTCGTCGAGTTGATGCGGATGAACAAAGGTGGAAAACGTTCGATCGATCAACTAACCGCTGTTGTGCATCTCTTTAAATTCCCACGGTTAAATATCATTGATTTATTAACACGTAAATCTAAATCTAAATCAACATAAATAATGTAAATAATTATTAATTGTATTTTAAATTGCGACGCTGCATTGTGCTTGATAAAAATCTAAATCTAATTGTAAATTTAACGATAATTAATTGTTTCCATTTGAATTCATTCCATTTGAAGCAATTGATGATGCTTTCGACAAACGAAATCCGCGTATTGCATCGTAAAACGTATTGCATGAAGATTATATAATATTTTATATAATTCTATTCGTTTCTTTTTTATTTCAGTATAAATGTATACTATATAAGAGACAAATTCCTTAAAAACCACGAAATAATGGTCGAAAGTAATGCATCGTATTTCAATTTTTTTATCGGTTAAAATATTCTTTGTATTGTGTTTTGCATTGCTAAGAAGAAATAAAATGTTAAAGTTTATGATTAATCCACGCTTTTTATTTGCAAACTTATAACTTTGCTGGCGAAGAGAAAACTGCCTGGAAGAAGAGAATGCGCTGTACCTATATTTTTACTTCGAGAAGGTAAACTTGCTCCCCGGGAAAGAGGAGAATGCCTGGCAATCGTATATATACGTAACCGGGTAAATTGCTCGACATTCGAGATTGTGTGTATTCCGGACGGAGGCGTACGCGTCTTTAAGGTGTTCGAGGTGCTGATCCGTAGCCGGGACCAATAATTTAGACGGTTTCGGGGGATCCCGGCAATAATTTAACTCCGCCGGGGAGGCCCTCTGAACCGGCAGCTGCGCCGCGACAGCAGGCACGGGGCGACGGAGTCGCGATAAACTCTCATAATTCACTTATGGGATATCCATGGCGTATCCGCGTCTCAGCCCCCGGTCGCCTGCACGCAGTCACGCAGCCGCGCGTCGCCTTTGAACGCGCGCTTCAAGTCGAAGGAACTCTCCATTGAATGCGAATGCGTGTTTCGTAACGTTTGTATATACACGCGCGGGCGCGGGCGCGCGATTATTCATAGGCGTGTATTGTGCGCGCGGGATCGCGCTTTACGGGATCCGCTGGAAACAGGAGCGGTCGGAGGATTGCGTAGTCCCCGAGGAAAAATTGGAACGATTAAGTGCAGTACCAATTTACTATAATAATAACAGTAAAAAGGAATGAATGTGTGATATTATACGATCTCGATATTTCGAACATGAACATTACTTTTTATACGTTCGCGCGAATAACGTTTTTTTTATCTTCTTTTTATAAAAGTATGTTTTAATTGGAAAATATGAATATGAAATAGTGTAAAAAATACTGTTTTATTAAATTTGTTTTATGAGAAATGTGATTTCAGTTTGGAAAGAAAAACTCAAGTGTATAAGATTATGTCTAAATATCTGTGGGCTCTTTCTCGAGCCAGCCCTGGCAGAAATGAACGGTGGACGTAAATTTCGGTACAACCTGCCGCGGGATAGGCGGATAATTAATTCTACATGAAGCAATGCCGCATACGGGATGCGCGTAAGCTTCGAAGACGTCGCGAGGAAATTAAAAAGTCTGAACGCAGCGTAACCCATCTGGGGATTAATGGGATAATTGTGAACGTACGATGGGGAATTCAGTCACTGTCTGGCTGCGCCGAAGCGCGTTTCGCGTCATTAGAATGCACGCGTGGTGAATAATAGCGTCTTACAGTCGTAAGAAATTATTAGAAAGAAATTCCCTTGCAGTGACTATACATTCCTAAATATAAGAAGTATGAAAAATTCATAATTTTATATTCTTTCTATTTTTTCCGCACATTTTACAAAATTTTGTCACTGAACAAGAGTATGCTAAAATATAAGAACTATTTAAATTCGAATATTATTTACATGAGCTCCCTAGAATAAATTAAACATATTACAATAAAGGCCTATGAGAGCTAACACGGATGTCAGTGTGTAATAGTTTTTTACAACAGCCACACGCAAACTGCGCGCCGCATAATCGTCGGACTTGAAACAGCTTATTGCATGAGACCGAAATTTTACTTGTAACAATTAAATTTTCCCCGGCTGAGAACATGAGGTGATATTTTTTCGCAATAATTTCTTTACAGATTCGGGGGGAAGGGGATCGTATATAAATGCGTGTTAAATTGCTAGTCGATTTAATTGCTACAAGTAAATTCGGGCCTCATGCAACAAGCTGTTTCAAGTCCGACGATTATGCGGCGCGTAGTTCGCGTGTGGCTGGATATTGTAAAAAACTATTACACACCGACATCTGTGTTAGCTCTCCTTAGGCCTTTATTGTAATAGGTTTTATTTAAATTCGCATTTTTATGACGATAACAAATTAAATATTTTAAATATTCACGGAAAGAACGATTTTGCTGGATACAGATCTGAAAATAATTTTTGTTGGACAATCAAAATAATTTTGTTGGAAAGTTAACCTGAATGCTAGAATATCAAAATAATTTTGTTGAAAAGTTCAAAAATGCTTATCATTTTTAACTTTCCAACAAAATTATTTTGACGATCAACAAGAATTATTTTCAGATCTGTATCAAGCAAAATCGTTCTTTCCGTGTTGATATGTATATTTCCCAGTTGTCTACTTCAATTAAATAGAAGTAGAAATTATTCGCGGATACAGTCTTTGCATTTGTATAGATATCGATAAATAATTTTATCTGCTTGTTATTAGCGGCGATTTAAGCACTCGTCTGTAAAAAAATTATGGACGGATACTTTTCTATACATTTCTCGACATTTCTGTTAAAACGCGGGAATATATTCTTTCGGGCACGCCGGACATCGTTGAGTTAATCCAATCAAGACAGGCAGCGGCTGCAGTGTTATAATGATCCCTCGTAGCCGGGGAGATACGTATCGACTTCTCCTCCTCATTCCGAGCTGTTTCTACGTCGTGCAACGTGCAATCTGGCGGCCGGTGATGGCCGGTGACGGTGGCAATGGTGTGGCGCTTGCACAATAGATTCGGTTTGATACATCGCCGTACGGCACAGGAGACCGTTAATTTCGTGGCCTCCTGCACCACGATGCCCTATACACACCCGCATCACCCATTCTGCGTTTAGACTGCTATCAACTGCTATTCTCCGTCAAATGTCGTTCATATTAATAACTCATCCAGCTTAATAATAGCATTTAACGCCGCGCAGTCATTACTCAGATTTCAGTGCTGTCGATCGGCTCTAATTGTAAGCGTAATTTGTATTTAATTTATTTTGCTACCGAGCGATTTTTTCGCCTGCGAGAAACGAATAAATCGACTGAATGTGAATACAAGATTTCAGACATAAAATATTTATGAAGTATTTTACATACATTGTACACACTTGACAGAATAACTTGTAACGATTTTATATGTGCACACGGAAAGAACGATTTTGCTGGAAGACCAAAAAAAAATCTGAAAATAATTTTTGTTAGGTCATCATCAAAATAATTTTGTTTGAAAGTCTAACTGATTGCTAAAATATCAAAACTTTTTATAGCAATGCTTATTATTCTTGAGTTTCCGACAAAATATTTTGATGATGACCTAACAAAAATTATTTATATTCTTGATAAAAATGCGATTTTTTTTCACCTACGCAAAATATGTCTTTCAGCAGATTATTTTGCATTTTTTATGGAATATATAATTTGGTGTAATAAACAATTCTAATTTTGTAGGTACATTTCTGGAGCTTTTACAAAATATTATATAGGTATGATAGAAAAATCTATGTATGTATGTATACATATTTTTTTGCAAAGCTAATACTAAAATAATAAAATATTTTATACCATTTTTATACATAATTTTACAGTGCAAAAAAGTAATCAATATTATTACTGTAAGTGCATTACATCGATGATAGGAAAATACGATGCACGCGTGACGTGAAATTCAGGCACGTTCCGACGTGCTTTGAGCAAATCGGAGACCTCATTTCAGTCGTACACGAATGTTCTCTTCTCGGGAAGAGACATACGTGCTCCTACTTTGAAGTTATTCTACGCATGCTGAGAATTTTGCGTGCACAAGTGACCTGACATCGTTCACCGAAATATTTCGGCAAACTACGTGTCAACTACAATTATGATCGTGGTACCGCCTATTTTCCAAAAGTAGTAGTCACATAAAATTGATAAATTGTGGTAATCTTACAAATTAGCACGATACACTTTCCTGTGGAATTACAAAATGGAGAACTGTATGATTATATGCTGTCTAATGCAACATTTTAAAAGAGTTATTTTTTTTTATTTATGATTTGACTTGCCGTAATTTTTTAGAAGTACCATACGTCTAGTCAAGGTTGCGTATATTCTTCTTTGTTCCGATCTTCGGGTTCTGCCTACTCGAAAGAGCCTTCGGTCGAAAATATCTTTCGGCGCTCCGAACGTCCCAATTATCGTGCAGCACAGTAATAATCATGGCTGCACGCTCGCTTTCTACGAGGTGTTCACGAATCCCACCAGGCCTCCTGTGTGATCGATGCTCATGTTAATCCGTTTCTGTCTCAGGAACAATGCCAACGTTGTCGTCCCGCCCACCGTATCGGCCGTGTCGAAGAAAGAGCCGCAAGAGAACATTGCCCGGATAGCGAAACGGTACCTCGACGATAACATGCAGCAGGCGTGGATCAATCCTCGTCTAATATCGATGGTGAGTGAATATAAATGCAATGATTATGCGCCGGATCCGCGCACGTGCGCCCATCCGTGCCCATTACGCTTCTTGGTCCGCACGCGCTCGTATAGCACATACACGTGAGGTGAGGGAAGGAGGAGGGGAGTGCGCGCGCGCGCGCGCGTACTTTCCGAGCCGGCCAACAAATTAGTTTGCGGCGGACTTCCACATTGGGAAAGTTTCGTGATTAATTTATTGGGCGGGAATGCGCGCGCACACACACTACACATCCCGCGCGGCCGCTGCACGGAAGTCGAAACGCGCGCGGCGAGAGTTTCTAACTTGCCCCGGACTATTTCTGCGATTTCTGGCTATAGAGAAGAGAGCTCGGAGGGCTGTACGCGTGCGGGATATACAGCGTGCGAGATTTCTCAAGAGTGTCGGCGATAGTGCGCGCTGAGAATTTTCACGGCACTACTGAAATGTCTTTACGATATCGCATAATCCCGCGCCGGTCGATCTGGAATACGGCTGCGGCAAGCTGGCGACAAATTTTTACGACGCTTTGAAACGGCTTACAAACGGATTTCACGATTCGAACGACTTTTCGATTTTGTGACAAATAACGTTTGAAAGTCGACATTCGAGTTTCCCTTTACGATTGAATCCGAAACGTCAACGAACCCCGCGGGAAATCCGGTTAAATGAACGATTCTGAATTCTGATTCTTAATTTTTAACGAAAAATAATTACATTGAAAAAAGTAATTTTGCAATTATAGCGAACATTATTTAGATAAAAAATAGCTAAAAAAGAAAAATGAGCTAAAACGGATAAGTGATTAATAATCACTGCGATACCACATATGTTTTGTATTTAATCAATATAGATAACAGAGACAGAAATTATATCTGAACTATTAATTTGTCAAATTTGGCAAAAAAGTTTCTCTATGACGTTTAA